TGCATTTGACAGTGTCTGGGCATGTCTTCCATGTGTTAGTTTCTGCATTGAGTGCTGGAGATGCTGTGGTGGGCAAGGCAGACCTGCCCCAGCCCCCAAGTGCATGTATCCTAACAGCAGAGACCGGTATCTAACAGTTACTTAAATACAAAATGTGATACATATTTTGCAGGAAAAATAGAAGAGTTTATGAACTGACAACAGGGGAGTCTGGTCTGGTCTGATAATCAGAGAAAGCTTCCTTGAAGTGATGTTTGAGCTGAGAACTGCAGGATGAACAGGGGTAAACTGGGTGACAGGGGAGGCCACACAGGCAGGCAGAAGGGATGGCCAATGCAAAGGCTTGGAGGTGGGATCTGAGCATGCTAGTCCAGAAAAGGCTGGAACACAGAGGCTGAGAGGGAAAGTTGGGTGGATGAGGCTGGAGAGATTGGCAGAGCCCAGATCATGAGGGTTTTGTGGGTCACAGTGAGGAGCTTGGACTTCATTCTTCTGATAGACTCTGGGATACCCCTTCAGACACTCCTTAGGACCAGGGTCACATTCCCCAAGCTGCCAGGAGTGTTAGCAGCTGTCAGATCCTAGCTGGGCATTTCCGTTCAACAAGGGAGCTCCCTCCTTGACTTCCAATGACTGTAATGACCACGCCTCCTTGCTTTGATTTTGGGCAACTCTGAGGGGCGTTACCAGCTTCAATCCCCCTGGGATCAGTTGAGGATTCTGTTGCAGATGTTCAACTTCTTCCACTGCCAAATCCTGCTTCCTTCCTTACACGTGCTCTTCCTGAGAGCACTCCTCACTAAATCACCCACACACCATCTCAGCTTCAGAATCTGTTCCCTAGGGATCCTGACCCGAGACAATCCTCAAGGTACTGGGAAGTTACTGCAGGGTTTTAAGAGGGGGAGTAAACTGCCGAGATTTGCATCTTATGAAGGAGATGAGTGGCAGCAGCAAAGGGTGCCCTGAAGTGGGGGCGTGGGAGGATACTGCTGTCACCGTCAAGGGGGAAATGGGTGTGGCTTGGACCAGATAGGGTGGAGACCGAGAGAAGCAGAAAAATTAAGGAGTACCGCACCGTGTCATCATGAGAAAGGCATTTACATTCTTAGTTACAGTTTTTCCAATTATACCATTGAAATGATGATACCTGTATCTGTTAGGACACTTTTTTATCTATTCATTCTAACAATATATTAAGCAAAATTAAGGAGATACTCAGAGTCAGGTCTATCTGTTTCTACAGGCTATGTAATTTCCATTATTCTTTGCTACCCCCAAAGATGTCTGAGCCCTGCCTTACTTTCTCTGGGATGCTGGGTCCATAGTCTTTATCAAGGTGGGTTAGAGCCAAGCTGGGATGAATCCCTTATACTCAGGAGCATCCGTACAGTGTCTGTGGCTTGGGCATGTGTGCTGATCACAGTGAGCATTTCTGCTTCACCTGGCCTGATCTTGCTATGCTTAGACAAGAGCCACTAACCCCTGGACTCTCTGATGCCCACTCTCTATCTGCCATGCTTCGTCTTAAACACTGTCTGAAATTTGTTGATGACACTTCCATGGGCTGGCCAAAGATCTTGTGCCAGCATCTGATATTATGTGAGAGGACTTGGAGAAGGATCAGGGATGGCTGGGAGACAAAACAGGCAAGATGAAGACAGGAGAGCTGCCCTGGGAAGTAAAAAGTGATCAGTGTCTTGGGCATTGAGAATTTGGAGGAAGGAAGGTGGTTTCCTGAAGGAGGTAGTTTGAAACTGGGCTATGAAGGATTTGGGAAGATAAGGCTGGGAAAGTGAGTTGGAAACAGGTCACGAAGGGGCTGGACTATCAGGTAAGGACTTTCATAGGCAATAGGGACTCCTAGAAAGAAAAAACAAGGAACTAATCCTCGTTCCTTTCTCTCCATCTCTGTTCAGTTCTCCAGTGTGTTAGTCCGTTTTCTGTTACTTACAACAGAATACCTGAAACTGTGTAGTTTATAAGAAACAAAATGTATTTCCTATATTTTTTTTCTTTCTTTTTTCTTTTTGAGACAGAGTCTTACACTGTCACCCAGGCTGGAGTGCAATGGCGCGATCTTGGCTCACTGCAACCTCCGCCTCCCAGGTTCACATGATTCTCCTGCCTCAGCCTCCTGAGTAACTGGGATTACAGGCACACACCACCATACCTGGTTAACATTTTGTATTTTTAGTAGAGATAGGGTTTCAGTATGTTGGCCAGACTGGTCTCAAACTCCTGACCTCATGATCTGCCCGCCTCGGCCTCCCAAAGTGCTGGAATTACAGGCGTGAGCCTCTGCACCCGGCCTATTTCCTGTATTTCTGGAGGCTAGGAAGTTCAAGGTCAAGGAGTCATATCAAGAGAGGCCACTCTTAGTAGTGATGACTCTCTGCAGAGTCCCAAGGTGGTATAGGGTGTCATGTGATGAGGGGGCCGAGTGTAGTAGCTCAGATCTCTCTTCTTCCTCTTATAAAGCCACCAGTCCCACTCCCATAACCAATTAAACCATGAATCCATGAGTGGATTAATCACCCCTAAAGGCCCCACCTCTCAATACTGCCACATTGGGGATTACGTTTCAGTATGAGTTTTTCTGGGTGGACAAACATTCAAACCGTAGCGTACAGGCACACTGATCTTCCAAATTCAGACAGTTTCCTGGAAACAGGAAGGTGTCGCTGACCAGATGGGGTAGTGTTCTCAGTGTCCATTCTGTGTTTGGAGGCAGATCACAAGGTCAGGAGTTCAAGACCAGCCTGGCCAACATAGTGAAACCCTGTCTCTAATAAAAATACAAAAAATTAGCTGGGTGTGGTGGCGGGTACCTGTAGCCCCAGCTACTTGGGAAGCTGAGGCAAGAGAATTGCTTGAACCCAGGAGGTGGAGGTTGTAGTTAACCAAGATCACACCACTGCACTCCAGCCTGGGTGACAGAGACTTCATCTAAAAAAGAATACCTGAGGTCGAGTAATTTATAAAGGAAAAGGTTTATTTGGCTAATGATTCTGGTGGCTGAAAAGTTCAAGGTGGAGCATCTACCTCTGACGAGGCCCTCAGGCTGCTTCCACTCATGGCAAAAGGTGAAGGGGAGCTGGTGTGTGCGGAGATCACCTAGCAAGAGTAGAAGCAAGAGTGAGAGTGGGGAGGTACCAGGCTCTTTGTAACAACCAGCTCTTGTGGGAATTAATAGAGCAGGAACTCACTCACCCCCAAGGGAGGGCATTAATCTATCCACGAGGGATCTGCCCCCATGACCCAAACACCTCCCGTTAGTTCCCACCTCCAACGCTGAGGATAACATTTCAACATGAAGTCTGGAGGAGAGAAACATCTGAACCATAGCACTTGCATTTCTGAAATGGTCATGCTTTCTTCAGAGCTGAGCTTTGGGTGAGAATTTTGGAACCTTTAACTTCTAAGGGATATTCTCATATTCTTAGAGGTGAAAGCACTAGTCAGGATGCTTGGCTGTGACTGCCAGCAACTGCCACATTGTGTCATCATGAGCAGGTCATTAAAATTCTTAGTTTTGGCTTTTCCAGCTGTAAAATCAAAATGATGTTGCCTATATCTGTTAAGATACTTTTTTCATGGAAAACCCTAACTCCAAATGACTTAAACCAGCACTTTCTAATGGAAGTATTATATGAACTACATATGTAATTTAAAAATTTTTAGTAGCCATATTTAAAAAGGTAAAATTAATTTTAATAATATATTTTATTTAACTCATCCACAATATTATCTTTTTGTGTGTAATCAATATACAATCATTAATGGGATATTTTCCATTCTTTTTGTGTGAGTTTTAAAAAATTTAGTGTCCAGTGACCACAGGTGGCTAGTGGCTACCATATTGGACAGCACAGACTTAAACAGTGAGGATATTTATTATTTCACATAATTGAAAATCCAGAGGTAGAGGAGCCCCAGGATTGGTTAATTTAGAGGCTTAATAGCATCAACAAGGATCCAGCTTCCTGCCAGCTTTTGGCTCTGCCATCCACAGATATCAGCTTTGTTTTCAGCCAGCTCTCCTCATGGTCCCAAGGTGGCTGCCATAGCTCTGGGGTCACCTCCAGATGCATTGACATCCAGCAGAAGAAGAAGCTGTGCTTCTCTGTATATATCTCTTTATGAGAACAAAAACCTCTGTTCTGCCTCCCCTCACAGCTGATTTTCTCTCAATCTCAATGCCAGATTTCGTCACATACTCAGGTATAATCAATCCAGCAATTGGCAAGGAAGATCTGAAAGTCTGGCTTAGAGCAATCAGAGTTTACCCCTAGAGCTGGAGACAGGCTTACCCTTCTCTAAGTCTCATGGATAACTAGACACTGGAACAAAACTGAGGTCCTATCAGCAAAGGAGTGGAGAACTGCTGTTGCCCAAAATGGGTTCCATGGGACACAAATCCTGGCAGATGCTCTGCCAAAGGGACTTTCTGATTAAATAACATCTGTCTCTTGGAGGATCACGGTAGTCATGAGCACACGAAGGGTTCTGATAAATCCCTCGGGAAGGAGACCTTTCATTTATTTCACTTTGATTTTCTCAAACTTTCTCGACTTCAGAACTGTGCTTTATTTCCCCCAGGATAAAACACATTAACACAAGTTTTGAGAAATACAGTTTTAGAGAACCTGCCTCAATGGGTTACTAGTTTATAAGCAGGACACAGGCCCACACGGTGGCCTCTTTTGGCTGCAACTGAATGACCTGCATTCAGGAAGATTCCTGTAGACCAGGCAGAGTATCCAGTGGCTCAGACCACAATCATCATTTCCCCGAAAAAGAACAAAAACTATAGTTTTCTCCTTGCTAAACGCATCCAGACCTTGGATTCACACCCTATGAGAAAGTCTCACATAAGGGCACATACCGAGACCGTTGGCATAGGTGATTTGCTTCGTTTCTTTGCCATAGTCTTCATGGTTTTCCTGGTGTCTTCCTGAAATGGACAAATATCTGTTTGCCAAAGCAAATGTATTCAGATTAATGTTTAAAACCACAATAAAATCAGATAAGCCCTCTTATCTGATGTAATCAATACCAGTTATAAATTGGTTAATCGAATAAGTCAGTAAAAGCAGAGAAACACGAAAGTAATACATATGTCTTATATTTTTAAATTTAAATCACACATATGCATAATATATAGTCACCCGATCTTTACTTTTCATTCACTAGTCTTCTGATGACAGTCTTTAATGAATGGAGTTTCTCATTGTCTTTCTTGGATACCCATCATGCGTAATCTATAAAAACTAGTTTCTTTCAGTTTCTTTAAAGAGGAGTGAGAAGTTGAAAACACTGGCAACCTGAGTGTAGAAAATGTCTAGGTTTCTGTAATTTCATTCCCAGTCTTAGATGGGTATGTCATTCATACTGAATTTGAGGATAATTTTTTAGGGATTCTCCTTCATGGACATCTAAAAGTATTTGGCTTTCCTGAGGGATAGCAGCCCTCTTTATCTTTTGGTACATTGATATTCCACTGGTTTACATGAGAAATATTAATAAATCCCATCATTTCAGTAATGAACACAACTGAAGTAAACAACTTTGGAAACAATGTTAAACATAAAACTTCCCATCTGGGTACAGAAGCATGTAGGCTTCTGAGAGCATGGTCTGCCAGCTGGGAGCATCTGTGTGCCAAGGGTACCAGTTGGCAGGGTTTTTAATTTTAATTTTAATTTTTTTTTAGAGTGTCACTGTGTCATCCAGGCTGGAGTGCAGCGGTGCCATCTCGGCTCACCTCTGCCTCCCCGTCAAGCAATTCTCCTGCCTCAGTCTCCAGCGTACCTGGGATTACAGGTGTGCGCCACTATGCCTGGCTAATTTTTGGATTTTTAGTAAAGGCGGAGTTTCACTATGTTAGCCAGGCTGGTCTCCAACTCCTGGCCTCAAGTGATCTGCCTGCCTTAGCCTCCCAAAGTGCTGGGATTGCAGGCATGGGTCACTATGCCCAGTCAAGGTAGCAGGTTTGACAGAAGGAACGGAGCGTGCTGGTTGATGGGAGGTCAGTGGGTAGAATTTATAGCTCCGAGCCCAGCCTGCACATTAGAATCACCTGAGTTGTTTTGAAAAATATGCAATGTCCAGAGCAATTAAATCATAATCTCTCACCAGGAAAGGGGATCTTGTACTGTAGATATGGCTGCCGGGAACTATACTGTGGTGTGTGTTTAGGAGCATGGAGGCAAATGAACAGATCCCAACGTTTTCTGCCCCTTCAGGTCAGAAGCTCTGAGGCCTTCTCCCTGAGTCAGGGATGTACCCCAACCAGCAAAACCTGGGTATTCCAGAGCACAAACATGCATTCCTTTTTTTTTTTTTTTTTTTTTTTTTTTTTTTTTTTTTTT